TGTCAGCCCCAACCAAAGTGTGAGCCACCGACAAATCGAGACCTCCAACAGCCCTATTAGAAGGACCCAAAAGCATGCCCTGTTCCGAGGCCTCCCTCACCCATGGCTTCCGCAACCGGAGGGGAATTAACATTTGTGAACCCGGGGCACGTGCACGGTCTGTGTCGCTAACGCCTGTATGGTAGCGCACGCCGTCCGAATTTCATTAGGGCTCGTCAAAAATGAAATACGGCGACCCGATGGTAGTTCAATGCAACGCTGATCAATGAGAATTTTGATGGCATTTTTGCCAAAAAATCAGTGCCCAATAGACAGGGAACCGCCAGGGAGGACGAAACGAAGACGGGTCCCGACAATTTGATATCACCAATGCAAATGGACGCCCTAATCTGACCGATAATGCCCAACGATCCCCCGTTAGCGGCGTAAAATGGCACATCCACCGGAAGAAGCGGACGACATTGTACAGAGAGAATGTTATAAATGAGATCCGATATAATAGTCGCCGATGCCCCCGTGTCCACTAACACCCTGACCTCGACCCCATCAATAGATCCGGTAACGACGGATGAACCCGCTGAGGCAGCCACTATTCTGTGCCCCAACTCCGACCATTTAATGTCCCCCCGGTCCCGGCCGAACCCCCCTCTCCGAACCGAATCCCCGAACTCTACTCGGCTCTCCCCCGCCGCAACGCGACGACCCATACGTGTCGAGTATGCGGGCCGAGCATGTGAGGTGCCGCGACTTGCCGGGGTTTGCAGGGATGACTTGGGGCCTTGTTCGTCGTCCAGCCGAGGTCCCATGGCGCGCTGACGTGGGGCGCGGCAACCGGAGGCCACGTGGCCCCGGAGGCCGCAGTTATAGCACGTGATGACAGTCGTCGGAGATCTCGGTTGCTCCAGCTTGCGGGCCGCTCGCAGAGGCGAACGGCCCCCCGACCTCCAGTCCCCCGGTCGTTCCGCGATGAACGCCTCCTCTCGTGGGCTGACGACTTGGGGCACGGTGACTACCGGGCCCGGAGCTGAGGCCACGGCAGCGTTGCAGATGACCCCCTGTTTACGTTGAAGGACCTCGTGCGCTTGTATGCTCGTAGCGACCCGTAAGGAAGAAATATCGGTCTCGTCGGCCGTGTTGATGGGGACCCCCAGGTCCTGCGCCAACTTGAGCAGTTGCTCCAAAACCATCGCATCTTGGCCCTCCTCGTCCATACGAGGGAACGCGGCGTCGGCGAGAGCAAGCAACGCCGTGCGGTAGGCGAGCACGGTCTCCGTGTCCGCCTTCCGTCTTGCATAAAAATGATGGCGACACGCCGAGGGAGGACCATAGACCTTGGCCATGAGAGCCAGCGCATCCTTGAGCGTGGAGCGGTCCGACCTGCGTGCGGACGTGAAGGCCGCGAGCGCGTTGTCGTCCAGCATGGCAGGCAGTGCCCGCAGTGCCGTAGCGTCGGACCAGGCGGACATCTCCTGATGCGCCAAAAACATGCGCTGAAATTGGCTCCAATCCCCGCCTTCTGCCTTGAAGGCTGACAACGTGGGAAGGCGCTGTTGAAAGATGAAGTCGTCCTCCTCCTCGTGCTTCCTCTCCGCCGCCCCGTCGGTGTGTAAGATGGCGGCCCCAGTGGCGGGTGTCTGATGGCGGTCCGCAGCGCGCGTTGGTGACGTAAGCGGGCGCGCTTGGAGAACCGCTGCCACGTGGTGATGGCCGTTCCCGCCAAAAGTCGGCGCAGATGAAATGGCGGGAATCGCCAAGTCGTTTTGGCGGGAATCTGCGGGGCGACCCTGCAGAACGTCCGCCGCCGTCCCCGCTCCTCCCGACGAGCTGATCTCCGCCAGGATGGACGCGGCGGCGAGCAGCAGCTCCGCCAGGCGGGAGTGCGCCTCGCGAAGCACGGCGTCGGTCTCCCGTCGCTCGTCCGGCGCCGTCGGCGGATCCTGCAGCGTGGGCAATTCCTCGTCCTCACCCCCCGATGCCAGCTGGCCCGAGTCGTCGAGGTTGTCCCCGCGGTCAATCCCGTGGGTCCGACGGGTCTTCCTTGTCTCCATGCTTGGAAGACCGTTTCACTTCTGACGCCAGTTGAAGTATTGGAATTGACGCCAGGAACTTCTTGACGGGTAACACACTTTTATTAAATCTTTACGTTCACAATACAACGTGTGGTCTCCTTTCTTCCGACTACACACTCCACTAATCTCGTGTAAACTCTATGCCTCTGGCTACACACTACACTCGACTCGTGTAGACCCTACGCCCCTGGCTACACACAATGCATTCGGCTCGTGTAGACCTTATGCCTCTGGCTACACACTACACTCGCCTCTGGGTTACACAGAGTCCCGGTCCCGTTAGGACAGCGGGACTAGGTACCGCAGGGCCCTAGGTCTTCATCCCCGTCTTCATTCTTCGCTGGTTACATACTGCCCTTACGCCTGTGTGCATCCCCTTTTATAGCCCCTGCTCACGAGAGACGGAGCTGATCCGGACGTCGACGTGAGCATCGTTCCCTAGTGGACCAATCACGACGCACTCTCTCTACGATCCGTTTTCCCCAGCGCGTGTTAACACTCCTCTACCAATCACACCGCGCTGCCACCCGATCACTCCCTCTCAGCGCGTCACGGGCCCACAGCCAATCAGTACCCCGTAACCCACGACCCCGCGCTGACCCCTGATCCTCCACCGTCAGCGCGCGTCACCACCTACACAGCCAATCATTACGCGCTGGCATACGATCCCTAATCCCAGCGCGTATCACCTCTACACATACAATGAGCTACCCACTCAACAGCGTGCACATTATGGGCTCACGGGCCAACCTGTTGTGCTGACGTCTTCTGGACACCTCGCAGCCCACCAGGGTTTCGTAGTTTCCGCATCTCTGCATGATCCACCAACACCCTTGCCTCGAAATTACACAAACATCACCCGTGCTCTGCACAGGCCCGGTGCCAGTGTTGAAGTCGAGTGAGACAAAGCAAAATTATACAAAAAGGCAATTCCCAAACACCCAGTATGGCCAGTGTGCGTCCTTCAATGACAGCTGCATGCAAATCAGTGACGTGCCGTGAGGTCAATGGCTGGGGAGGCACTGGCTCGTGTCAGAGCCAGATTCACACACTGAGGGGGGCGTGTCCTCACTGAGGGGGGCGTGTCCTCACTGAGGGGGGTGTGTCTTCACTGAGGGGGCGTGGTCTCACTGAGGGGGCGTGTCCTCACTGAGGGGGGCGTGTCCTCACTGAGGGGGGCGTGGCCTCACTGAGGGGGGCGTGGCCTCACTGAGGGGGGCGTGTCCTCACTGAGGGGGCGTGGTCTCACTGATGGGGGCGTGGCTTCACTGAGGGAGCGTGTCGTCACTGAGGGGCGTGTTAGACACGTCCCCCTCACTGAGGCAGACGTGATAGCTGCCTCCCCTGGTGCTTTTTCATTGCAGTTTCATGACGAGACCAGCGAGCCTAAATATCTTTATACACATACGTGAAATAAGTTACCTGGAGTATGGAAGGCGAGGACATGAAATGAAGGAGTCTACAAACATTACATTGGTGACATACTGAGATAGTAACAGGCACGCGCGTATTGCCCTCGCTCCATCCAGTTACTGAGGGGTTGCGCAATCAGAGGGGAGGCTGAGTTCGTCGCTGCCTCACCTCTCGTCTCTTCCTGTAATTGCAGCGGAGCTCCACAAATTTGGTACAGAAATGACATTTATAACACAGATCAGTGGAAAAATATTAATATTTATATTATTTCATTATTCTTTTTTTATACTTTTCGTAACAGCTATTTTCATTGGAGTATGACAGATGAGGCTCTGCCTCCCCTGCCTCCCCTGACCGCACGTCCCTGATGCAAATAACTTCACCGTCCACAGTGTTGATGTTTAAATATTTTTCAAGAGCCTCGACAGATCAGTTTTGCTCACCACTGAACGTTCATCTGCGCTGGTGAGCACTGCCAGCCCATGAGTGGCCAAGCTGGCTGTGCTCACACATTTTTCTCGGCACAAGTGCTCTCTCTCTCTCTTTTACCGTGAACTGATGTCACGTGCCCTCAAGGCTGTTGCTCATTACAGCTCCAGTTGAGTGCTCATGCGACTGCTGCTACTGCTTGCTGCTACGTTTAGAGCCGTGGCACAGTGGGCTAGCACACTGCCCTGTGAACTTGACAGCCTGGGTTCTATGCAGTGGTTAACTTAAGGCGGAACAGTCCGGAACGCTGTTTCCAAGAATAATTTTGGCACTCCTCATCATTTAATTTCATTCCCATGATACTAGATCAAATTTGTTTAATCTCCTTCATGGGCTTATAGTGTACAATAATATAGGTAGTGGTTTGGGTCAATAATTTATATTGCACGGCATCCTCTCTGATCTTGAGCTTTCTTATTCATGCCAATGTAAGCCCCCCCCCCACCCTTCCTTTAAATCGTCAAGCAGCATTTTACTTTGCCTGCAAGCATGACCTCCTTCGCAACATCTCTCCTTACAGAATTTTCATCGTCAAGCTGTCACCGCTGATAATGTGGCTAATCCACAGCGTTTGCATCGTGGCATCTAAGCCTATCCCGGGCCTCCACTAGCGTGACTTTGGCTTGCCCCCTTCAGTCCATTGGGCTAACTGGGGCATCTTTTTCTCTTTTCACCGTTGCTGTCATTGGCTCCTTAGAGGCACGTTGACGTTAAAACTATAAACTTTTAATTTTACCAGGTAAGGTCCACTGAACTATATAGCTCTTTTTCAGAAGCAACCCAGCCACGAATGATAGGTCAACGAAGTGGCTTATCATGTGGAAATGTATCGGAGCCAAATACTCTAAATGCACGTTTCTAAATATGGAAGGGGAAAACCGGAGGACCCGGAGAAAAAATCCACGTGACCACGGGGAGAACGCGCACACTCCAAATATACCAGCATCAGGGTCGGGATCGAACCCACAACCTCCTGTATACCTCGCCAGGTAGTGAATATCTCTCCACCATGGCGCCCATTAACTAATGATGCCTTGTCGGTTTGTTCTGGCAGCTGGGGCCGACAAGTTTGAGTGCGACAGCGAGCTGCGAAAGGAGATGATGGCAATCTGGCCAACCCTCTCTCAGAAGACGCTGGACATCCTGGTGCCACCGCACAGAGGTGACGTTCCTTTTCACTAAAGATTCGAGGGAAGACGCGTGAACGTGAGAGAATTCACGTGAACGTGAGAGTATTATAATCATATAAACCAGGGAGTCGGCAGCCAAAGTGATAGGAAGAGCCATTTTCTTTACGAATTCAATCAAAAGAATCCTCAATATTTCAGGAGCCACAATGCACTATGTGGTGAATACGAGATGGTGGGTCCTTAACAAGTAACGTCAACGAAGTGGTCCTGAATGATCCGCGTGCGGAGCCGCAGGTTTACCAGCCCCTGGTGTAGACGGTTGTGCAACTGTGAGGGGTTGTCGTGGTTGTGCTGTGCGATTCTCCGATGTGGTGTTAGGGTTGTGCCGTGCGATCGTTCGGCGCGATGTCCGACGTTCCGATCCACGTGCTGAGAGCTGCTTTAGGAGCTCCCAGCACGTGGTGCGAAACGTCAGACATCGTGCCGAACAAATCGGGGCAGTTGTGCTAATTTCGTGTACGGAGACACTTTGGCACCACTTCCAATGAACAAAACAACAAGCGTCTCATGATAAGGACTCATCATGGGAATGAGCCAGCGCATGTTCGATCTTGGAGACACTCTGACCTTGAACCTGCTGATAAGTCAAGATGTATGCACGTGTATGTACGTTGAACTGCTTTCACACCATACGTAGCCAATTGTGCATATCGGACGTGCGGGGGAAGGACAATAACATGATAACGAAACATGCCTGCTGAGAAATACATTTGATTATCTCGCAAAATATATATTTTTATAAATATCCATAACATTTACATGTATGGGTTATGGCAGAGCCACTGTAAATAAGGTGTTGTGGTTGACCCAGACACCCTCAACATTTTTACATGCGGCTATGGCTCCGCGCCTCTGAGTTGCGGCCGTTACGTCTGCAAATTTGCACGCGTTATAAATTGCATTATTATTATGGGACACGCCACAACACAACAAAAACAGCTGAGAAGCACTCACAACATGTTTCGGTACGGCGAAGGTATCCCAAAACAGTTTTAGATGTGGTCAAGGGACGTCCCAACAAAACGCCGTGTGACCGTGCACGTGGTACTGAGCGGAGCGTCTGGTCAGGGGCGGGGCGGGGGGGGAGAGTGTCTCTCGATGCGAACGGCGATTTGCTTTGCACCTCCAGCCGTCGACCTCACGGTGGGCAAGGTGTACGCGGCCATGATGATCTACAACTACTACAAGAGCAACAAGAACAAGAAGATGCAGCTCCAGCAGGCCGCCGCCATGCAGCAGGTTTGCACGTCCGCTCGTCGCTCGCAATTCGCCCTGAGAGCGAACTGGCGCTGCCGGGCGCCGGTGGCGGCTGCGACGCAGCCGGAGCCGGCATCTCGAAACTTTTTTGAGCGATCAGTTTTACCAGACCGATTGTTGGTTCGATCGCCCGACGTAATAGTACCACTGGACGGGAGGTGGTTGGCGGGGAATAGGTGACGTCGGCGGTACTCTAATCATTTGCAGCTTTGCAATCTGTGACGCTAATAAAGCACGCGCTGTCAGAAAATGACAATGATGTAATTTAACCACCATATCATACGAATCGTGTGTATGCCATAGGTTAATGAGTGATGATAATATTATTATCATTGGTCAACAGAAACCTCGCCATTGGTCCCTGGTCAGCCTTCATCGATGTAACCTCCCCCCGTGCGATAGCCATCTTGTACCAACCTCCCAATTGGATGAGCACCACCCCATTTGAACAACTGCAGCAAAATGACGCTAACTTTCTTTGACCGTCACCGCGGTCGCCCACCGCAGAACCGCACGCTCTTCCAGAGGCTGGGAGGACCGGGAGTGCCCGGCGGTGCCGGGAGTGCCGTGGGAGCGGTGGGGGCGGTCGTGGCTGTGGTGGCTGCTGGGAGCGTCGGGGGTGCCGGAGGTCCCTGGGGGGCGGGGGGCGACCCAAGGGGCCCGATGGGAACCAGCGGCCCGGGAGGACAGCTCATGGACATGCCGCCCCCCGGCCGGCCGGAGGACCTGCAGCTTGGACAGCCGCTCCTGGGCGAACCTAATCGCTGGTGAGGCAGCACTGTGGCGTGGATAGCGTGGCGGTGAGAGCGCTGTGGCGTGGATAGCGTGGCGGTGAGAGCGCTGTGGCTTGGAATCAAGAGGTCGCCGGTTACCTCTTCAGAACGAACCACAGATGCAGTAATACCCTGATTTACCCATAATGCAGTTTTTTTTGGGTTAGATCGTGTAAATACAAATGTGTCGTTAAACCGCCACCACCCAACACAGCCAATTAGTAAGGTTTGTCACGTAAACAGAACATGGCAATGTGTTACGAGTACAGCACACCCGTGTGTTGGAGAGCACATCCACAACATTTACAATATGACTACGACGTTCCGCCAGTAATTACAACCGGCATCATCAGGCGGCAGCCAGATATTTATGCAATCTAACCCAAAAAAACCTTTATTATCGATGATATTACCCTGATTTACGTCTTCCCCATCATTAACACCACTTCCTGATTTGCGTCACCTCAACCCACACTCACGTCGCCGACGGCATCGTCTGTTACTCGTCGCCTCTCAGCCTTCGCTTCCACCTCACCCCGTAAGTCGCTTTGATTGACGTCGTTTAGATATTCATTGTCACACCTTTCAGGAAGGAATCCCCCCCTCCTACCCCTAAGTAAACCAGGGCATCACTGTACGGTAATTCCGCTTAACGCAGTAGATGCATTCCTGAATAGTGCCGCGTTCAGCAAAAAAAACGCTTTAAGCGAGGAAATACTTGTATGTCATATACATTGCAGGCAATGAATAAATACGTGCAACGATGCAACTTTGAATCGTGCGTGCGCTATGAAATCATGAAGCCATCCCATGGTGGGACCAAGAAGTGAGATGAGGAAACGTCGCCACGTGCAGTCGCGCTCCGCGCGTATACGCACAATTCCCACACCGCCAAACCGCGCAGCTGAAGAAAGTAGTTTGTCCATATTCTTGGTTCTTTCGGTAAAGTCACGTAAATAGAAAACCAGAAAATATTTTAAAAAGTTTTAAAGAAAAAAAAATAATAAAATAACAATCAAATTAAAAAAATAAAATAAAAATAAGAAAGTAAAAAAAATTAAAGAAAAAACCCACGACGTTTCGATCGCAACACAAGCGGTTTTCATCAAGAATATGAATTCCTGCAGTCACGAAAGTTTTAAGTCTAAAGTAGTTTCTGAAACCCTGTGGAGACACGTCGTGTGAACACGCATTTAAGCTTAGACATAACGTGCATTTTGCTAAAAACCTTTTAACCATGGGTGCATAGGCACGGAAACAGCAGAAGCAGCAGCACGTTATTATTTTAATTGCAGCAATGAAGGCATATCCAAGGGGGTACCTGGGGGACCCCATTTGTGGATGTCTGCCGGAGGCCCAAAAGACCTCACACCGGCCTGCACACAGCGTGCTGCCCAAGTGCATTGCGTTGGTCGTTTTGATTGCCTGGAGGTCACCCATGGGACCAAAGAGGGGTTGTTTTGGTACCACTTGGGGTGGCAAATGCTGCTGATATCCACTATGGGAAGAAAGCTGCGTGCGTATGCCATTCTGATTCATGTAGACACGCTTTCTAATTACATTCACGTTCCGTCGTTGTTTCGTGTCACATTAGTTGCTACACTTAGGTTTTTTTCGGTAAAGTCACGTAGGTATAAATAAATAAATAATAAATGCTGCATTGCAATAATATTATTATTCTTATTTCTATTAGTTATTATTTTTTATTATGTATTTATTTTTAATATTTATTAAATTTTACCTACGTGACTTTACCGAAAAAACCTAAGAGTATGAATCCTTGCAGTCACGAAATCTTCAAATCTAACATTAGTTGCTGCTTTCTCCATCTTTTCCAGAACGATATTCTCTCACAAAATCACGCTCGGAGCATTCCTTGATGACACATTTCCTACGTGAGACTATGTGACAATAACCTTGATGTCATCAGCATTTCTGATCTAGACGTAAAATTGCTCACGAAAATCTGTGTCTGCAATTGCCATCCGAGCGGGTACCGAAAAGGCACGTTTGAGAACAACGAACCAAGGACCGAGAACTTTGCGCGTGGCACCGCCCTTGCGTTGGTTGTGCATGTGCGGCGCTGTTGTTGTTGTTGTTAGCAGGTAGAACATATCCTCACAAGTGCTTTCTCAGCACATTTGCAACATCAGCTGATGCTCGTACGTTCTGAGAATGTAGCGCCGTGTTATTCCGGTCCCTGCTGCAATGTTGGCAACATTTACTTATTCTTGTTCTTCTTCTTATTATCCGTACGAATGATTCCACGATCGGCTCGTAATTCATTGCTCGGGACAGTGGGCTGTCTCGTTCGGTTCGCTGTGCGTAATGCATGGAATCGCTGACACATGCAGCTCGGGCGGCCACAGAGAAGATAGGAAAAAAAGAGACAAAGGCGATTTAGGATGTAGAAAGTAGACTGTTGCATGGCTCATGCAAATGAGCCGGCACCGTGTGAGTGACTTTGGTTCGAAGCCCTGGGGCAGGTGAGAGTGATGCACACAATGCATTTAGTCTTCTACTCGTCTGATGATTTGTGCTCGAACAACGACTTAACTTGGGAAGGAGATATAACGTGCCATGCGTCTTTGCGCTCAATTAACTCCGGTCATCCTCGCAGCAGCGGATTTTCGCCGGCCATCGAACAAAGATGGCCAACGCATCGCGTGCTTTCAGATGCTCTTCTGTGGCCGTCTGGAATGCTCCTCCTTGCGATATCAGGAAGCCACTGGAGCTGTGGACTTTCAAACCGGAAGCCAACGCAGCTCAGCGAGCGCTGGGTGGGCACGTTTTACCTGAAACGCGTCGGTCATTGCCAGAAGAGAGGAGGGGAAGTAGAAATTCTTGAGTTTGGCAAAACGTCGTCCTCTAATTGTTACCGTTGTTGGTTTACTCTCCAACACACCGGTGTGCTGAACTAGTAACTAATTTCGATTTAAAGCTTTCGTGACTGCAGGGATTCATCTTCTTGGTTCTTTCGGTAAAGTCACGTAGAAGGGAAATAATAAAATAAAAATGTTTTCTTTTTATTATTTTATTATTTCCTTTCTACGTGACTTTACTGAAAGAACCAAGAAGATAGTAACTAATTGGCATGTTTTGTTTACGTGACAAACCTCACTAATTGGCTGTGCCAGGTGGTGGCACGATCTAACCCCAAAAAAACCTCTATTAGTGAAAGTCTTGAATCTGAATCTCGAAACTCTGCACCTCTCTCCTGCCGCTATACCCCCCGCAACCCCTGAGCAGCGGGGACCTACGGGCGTCTCCGTCGTGGGTGACTCAGCGGGCGCAGGAGATGGTGCAGCGCACGCGGCAGCGCCGGGCTGGCGAGCGGGGCTGGTCTGACGAGCAGCCGGACGCACGGCCGCCCTCCCAGGTAAGCGTGGTGGCGAGATGTTAACTCCCTTGCCTGGTATACAGGAAGTTGTGGGTTCAATGCCAACCCTGACGCCTGTTGTATATTTGGAGTTTGCATGTTCTACCTGTGGTCACGTGGATTTTTCTCCGGGTACTCTGGTTATTTCCTCCGCATTTGGAAACATGCGTTTAGAGTATCTGGGTGCTATAAATGACCGCGTGATGTATGTATGTATGTATGTTGAATTTATTTCACACTGTACATAACAAATCATGCTAATCGGAGGTGCGGGGAAAGGAAAACAAACTAAACACAAAAAGCAGTTCTAAAGAAATTAGTTTTCAATCTCGTGCATAGCTCCAGTGGCTACCTAATATCAGAAGGAAGATCATTCCATACGGCCCCAGAAGCGCATCTGAAAGTGTCGCGCAATGCGGCGACGACCATCTTTGTCCGATGGCTAGCTGAGAGCCGCTGCTGCAAGCATGACTGAAGTTCGCTTGATGATGGTTTACGCTCCTCGACGGAAAAAGGTGAGTGTGATGGTCGGCCCATGAAGAAACCAATGGCATCTACAATCTGCAGAACATGAAGAACCAGTGGCATCTACATCTATAGAACATGAAGCACCAGTGGCATCTAAATCTGCAGAACATGAGGAACCAGTGGCATCTACATCTGCAGAACATGAAGAACCAGTGGCATTTACATCTGCAGAACATTAAGAACCAGTGGCATCTACAGGAGATTATATAACTTTTAAAGCTGTTCCCCGTGTTTAGGGTACATGCCGTACATGTTTGGAATCGACAGGAGTAAAGTTGTAAGTGGAAAAATCGACTTACGAACAGACCTCTGGAACCTAACTCGTCCGTAAGTAGGGGAGTCCCTGTATATGTGTAGTGAGTGACTTCCGAGACACAACGTGTCGAGGGCTCCTTGTTTATTCCTCACGCTTTACAGGCACAATCACTGAGCGACACATATATACTGGGCTACGCATCGCTGATCCACTCATACAGCCCCATCGCCGGCATCTAACTATATAGCTGGCTGACTAATACAGCGACGACGACGATGGGAGCTGTACAGCGGACGATGAAGAAGGGATGATGGCGAAGACAGCGACGGCAGCCAGGACCCGGACTCCCACAACAGCCCCGAACCCCCGGTTACGTCCCCTTTATATACTCCTCGGCGTGGCCAAGCCCCGCCTCCAGCCATGCCCCCTTCTAGAACCTTCGAGCAGGTTCCCGGAGCTTCCCGACTGATTCCCGCCCCTGACCTTTAGCCCAGTTGCGCCCCTCTCATGGTTGGCTATTATATAACGCACCCATACCCGTAATTATCCCTCCTGGTCAACAGATGGCACCCTGTCACTACATATGTATAGATTCTCAAACACAACGATTCGAAGCGTGTATCGCGAGCTTTACAATGAATTTCGATTATGTAACCTGTGCATTGTTACTATGCCCCTTGGTTCCACTAACACATGGTTAACAGTCTATGACCTGAATTTGATTCAGATTCCACTATTAGATGTATTTCCCAGTGTTATATGGCCATGCCCTGCTTTACGCATCAAGTCGAAAGAACACTTGTAGTGGGTAGTGCATATGTACGTCACTCTTGACAGTGCTTTTCTTATTAAGCACTCACTGTGAAAGATCTGTCTGCACGTGAGTCATAGGATCTCTCTGGCTTTGTATGAGTTACCGAGACCAAATAAAATACATCTCCATTCATTCAGCTGTGATGAAGGGCACGGAGCGTTCGTTCTGCGTATGTGCGGTGTTTAATTCTCCTTCGTGCCGAGCCTTGGTCACAAAGATGACAGACAACCTGGGCTTATGCATTATCAGCACTGCCCATGCAGTTCCTGCGATTTATGTGCAATTATATTTCTCATATATTATTTCCGCTCAGCTGCCAAAATGCACTTTGGGCTTATAAAGGCAGTGCGTGATCAAATGAACGGACGCACAATATTTATCACCGTTACGTTCTCTTGGCGCTTGCGCCGGTAAACACATTTTTATTAGCTTCATAATTTGCATGTTAAAGGAAGGCAGGCTTTGTGCTTTGTTGTGTGAAGACAAATGGCAGCCATGGAAACTGACTTGAGCATTTTTTTTTCTAACCATTATTACAATCATCATCAGAATTTTCTGTAGTTTTTTAAAATATTTTTTTTAGTTTTGATTGGCTTCGCTTAACTTGTGGTAACCTGAAATTATTGAAGACGGCAGTCTGAAAGCATTTCTTAGCTTTATTTTCAAATTGTATCACGGTATTAAGGTTGCAGTGCTCTCATATTGAGGTTGCTTGTTGGCACAGTGCTTCGCGCACTGCGCTACGATCCCTCCTTTCCGATATTGACTCGGGGTCACGGCCAACAATCAGCGACGAGTAATATCTGAACCAGTCCTGGGTCTCACCCCCTTCACCAACCCCAACTGACCGGCGTGGTGAAGTATGGTCAAATCACCCCGACTGCCAATTAGGCATCGTGAGGCTCTCATCCAGAAGTGGATTTACATAAACATTCATAGTCATTCATAACCATGTATTTAAAGCCACAATAGAATATGTTTTTCAAACATAGGGGTATACCAAAGAAGCATAGGGAATATAGATTTATATCTGTGGGACCCTTTTTTGCCAGTATCCAGATGATGAAAAACGAATAGGCTTCATCCTTTCCGGCAACAATACAGGCGGTGTTAAGATGTTCATACCCCAAATATACACCTATCGTCACAACTCATCATCAATTCTGCACTCACCGCACATGCTTTGTGGTAAAACATGCATACACATATGCTTTGATAGTATATGCGTTGTCCTTGAAACGGATTTGCCTACACCAGAGGCAACCTCCTTTTATGCATATGAGACAGGACCTGACAAGTAGTTGGAGTCTTATCATTGTCAGGAAAACCTTGTAGCAAGGCCACGGGACCTAGTCGAGGTGCCCTCACTCGAACACACAGATTGTCAACGCGTCAAAACAAAACGACAGCTGCCATGTGGGCTGTTCGTTCTTGACAGGGACAGTTTCTTTTTCACTGCCAATTTTAACTCACAAGAACAAGTCGATCTGTATTGATTTTTTTTAAACCACTTATATATATTGGGGGAAACGGGAGTACGATACGTTTGTAAGAATGTAAAATGCACGCATTGTTAGTGCTGTGTTCAGCCAATTCAGCTAAGAGGCTCGGTGTTGCCCGTGTGTCTGCGTGCACTGTAGAAGTTTTACGCAGTGTAACGCGATGAACATCCAACTGTAATACTACTCTTGGAGACGACTTGTGGAATCGGTCCTTTTATTTATTCCAGTTCACAAGTACTCCCCGCTGCTGGCAGGCAACGAGAAGTGGGCAGACAGACCACAAGAGACGCACCGCCACGTGGCACTCGGAGCCCCGCTCGCGCGTGGGCCCTCTCTTCCTTCGTTCTTCGTCTGACCACGTGTCGTTCATCTCTCCCCTTATTTAATGCCTGGGTCATGTGGTACGCTCCAGCCAATCCTTGGTAGCCTGCGTCGAATCTTCTAGATTCCCCATCAACTCCCGGGACCACGCCCCTGATTTGTCTTCCCATTGGCTGAGGCCAAAACCAGCAGAACCAATCACCCTAGCTGGCACCCCTCGATCACGCCAGGGCCATGCTCCCAGGCTCTCCCCCCATTGGCTGTAAAGCAGGACCGGCAGAGCCGATCACCACGTGAGCCGGACATAGGCTCTTATTACACAACTCTATAACAATAGATTTCAATTTAAAGCTTTCGTGACTGCAGGGATTCATCTTCTTGGTTCTTTCGGCAAAGTCACGTAGAAGGGAAGTAATAAAATAATAAAAATAAAACATATTTATTACTTCCCTTCTACGTGACTTTACCGAAAGAACCAAGAAGATATATAACAATAGGTTTTACCCTTTCTCGCAATAAAACAGGTGTGTCAAGATGTTAAAACACCAAACAGAATCCTTATTCAAGGAATCATGTCTGCATTAACCACACGTACTTGTAGTGAACATGCAAACAAAAACATGCTCTGATAATATATTTATTGTTTTGAAACTGATTGATCCAACAGCATAAATGTGACGTCTTCCCGGAATAAGCAGGCTTGGAAATATATATTGACAATACGTTTGACTCTTTCTGGCAATAAAACCGGTGTTAAGAAGTCCAAACCTTTTGCAAGGCACCAAGTCTGCATTAACCCACATATACGCGTGACAAAACATGCAAACAAAAACATGCTCTGATAAAATAATGCATTGTCTTTGAAACTGATGGGACCTACATCAGAGAGACAGCCTTTTTGTTTCGCCTTGTCTCACCGGTCTTAGAACAGAGAACGCCAATTTTGATACTGGCAAAAAGGTGCCATAGATAATGAACATTGATGTTGGCTCTCGCCCCCCAGCCCATGACGATGGCCAAGCGAGACAAAACCTCCTGGCTGGCGTGTCCACAGCAGGGCTCTGCCCCACAGTTCAGTCGACAATTTGATGCAACGTTGACTCGAAAAAAAATATATTCAGTGGCGCAACGAGATTTTATTCGTGGTAATGATTTTTTTATTCGCTTAACCATCCACGTGGGTGTTATTAATCCGAGGAGCAAAGGTGGCCAATCTATTGTTTACGTGGAATCATGCAGATAGCATGGCGTGTGTTTATCATCAGCATCAGCCATGATCAATCCACGGCTGGATAAGGATCTCCCCAATCCGTTGCAATCGCTTGTGGTTCTGAGATGTAAAATTCTACCGGTGCGCATGTGTAAAGACGCCCACACGCGTTGTACTTGGAGCCTTTCTTTATTTGACACAGCACCAACACTGGGCCCTGCTTCTGGCTCCACTCTTGAAACTCCTACTCTCCCTGTGCTCTCTCCTTGTATCCCTTTCGAGCCCCTTCTCTCGAAACTTCTCTCGCCGCCCTCCTTTCAGCCAATCCCCGTCCTTCTCCCTCAACGCTTCTCCACCGTCGCCTCAACGCTCAACCGTCGCTTCCTGGCTTTTTCAGCTTGAACCTCTCCTCCAATCACTTCAAACCATCCTTCCCGACCAATCACTATGGAGGCCTCTCTGCACCAATAGGAGGCCCCGGCCTACTTCCTGGAAGTCAATACTCTTTGGTTGTTTCGGTAAAGTCACGTAGGTATAAAATAAAATAAATCACGACGTTTCGATTGCAACACAAGCAATAATCATCAGGTGGGAAAACCACAGCAATCTTATTTTTTTGTTGAAGTGGGAGAGAGAGCTGCCGTGGCAAGAGGTTATATAGGTAAGAAAGGGGGAGGGGCAAGGGGGGGAGAGGGGCGGGTTTGAGGTAGGGGGAGGAGAGCGCTGCGTGGACGCCAGAGGTCGCAACCGGGTACCTGATACCCATACCCTACCCGATACCCGGCTACCCGTACCCGGCCGGGTACGGGTAGCCGTTTGCGACCCTGGTGCGGCCGGGTACGGGTATGGGTAGGCCGTGAGTCACTGGTGAGTAACTGTTTGTCACTCATTTCCCAACGTCTTGTCTCTTCTCACAATTCAAGTTCCTAGAATCAACCCACCCGCGCCTGCAACATGGCTTCATCCCAGAGGTCGCAACCGGGTACCCGATACCCGTACCCTACCCGATACCCGGCCGGGTACGGGTAGGGTACGGGTAGGGTACGGGTACCCGTTTTCGACCCTGGTGTGGTCGGGTACGGGTAAGGAATCAAAACCCGTTTGCGACCTCTGGTGGACGCTAGGAGAGGGACGTCAGGCAGAAAAATTCATTCACGGTCTGTACTTTCTGTGCTCCCACATGGATGCTGCCCGCATATACCAAAAACACACATGCTGACCAGATAGATCGGTCAGGATGGGTGTAGGTCGACTAGCGGGCTGTACAGGTACACCATGGCACGTTAAATAAAAACAAAACCAAGCCTTTAGAATAGAAAGGAAAATGTATTCATAATAAAGGTTTTAGGGTGAGATCGCGTAAGTATAAATGTGTCGTAACCCTCAATCACCCGACACAGTAAGGTTTGTCACGTAAACAACGCGCCAGTTAATTACTACTCCAGCCCACCGGAGTTTTGGAGAGTAAATCCACAACATTGACAATTTGAGTACGACGTTTCGCTGGCAATTACATCCAGCATCATTGGGTGATTTGCCCGAAATGTGAGCAGTGTTCACAACAAATCCATCGCAAATAATAACAAATCCATCACAGTTTGTTTTTGCTATTATTTTTTGTGATGCGGGAGCAGTTGGAAATGCGGGACATGGTGCACCCTGGGTATTACGACCCAGAGGCACAGATGGCATTGGAGAGTTACGGGCGCACGACGTCATTACCCAAGCTCACCCCTGACATCCAGGTACAACCCCTCCCACACACACCGCTTGCTATCGCACCATAGGTCTTGTACGCCTATAGAGTGGACTTCATCAAAAGCTGGATTGTCTCTTTTTGACAAGGGCTCAGATCACAGCTGGCTGGCCACTTATAATGAATTAATATGTAATTCCCCCCCCCCCCCCAACCTCTCCCTTCATGTAGGTTTAGTTCCTTTTTCCTCTTTGATTTCAGTCAAATTTTCAGTTAATATGACTCGTAATGATGCATGTGATTGAAATAACCGTGGACGTTTGCTAAGGCTTTTTTGGGGAGTCAGCTGGATGACTGAGTAGCGGCTGACCTTAGCCCAGTCACACAGCATGGGGCTCTTGGGGGTCTATTTGATCCCATATCGAGCGTGTCATGAGGCAACTAATACATTTATTATTATTTTATTGAACCAACATCACCGATCACAGCAGAGGGCACATATAAACACGAGTATCAGCGTGACAGTGGAGTTGTGGTGTCCTCTGTGTAGGCTTCCCTCCTTCAACAGGAGCAGGTTAAGGTGGACCACGTTCATTTGCTAACTTTAGACCAAAGAGGATAAAACAAACATGGGATGGCAATTAATTTAATCGTATTTTATATTCATAGAACGCCGTCACTCAAGGCACTTAACGTAGTAATATTTAAAACGGTGACAAAATATAATGATCTTCTTGGTTCTTTCGGTAAAGTCACGTAGAAGGGAAGTAATAAAATAATAAAAATAAAACATAATAAAATAATTCTCACGACGTTTCGGCCACAACGCAAGCAGCCGTCCTCAGGTGAAGAATGAAACACCACCAAGCTTGGAGCGTATATTTAAGCTGGGTTGGAGGGGGGGGGGAGGTGGGAAAAAGAGCACCTCCAACCCAGCTTAAATATACGCTCCAAGCTTGGTGGTGTTTCATTCTTCACCTGAAGACGGCTGCTTGCGTTGTGGCCGCAATGTCGTGAGAATTATTTTATTATGTTTTATTTGTATTATTTTATTACTTCCCTTCTACATGACTTTACCGAAAGAACCAAGAAGATGAATCCCTGCAGTCACGAAAGCTTTAAATCGAAAAATAGAATGATTTAGATGGCAGAGGCGTGCTGCAAGGGTTGAGGAATGAGTGACAACGACAGAGGGGTACTCATGGGGCAAGAAAGGGCAGGGGAGGGACAGGAAGGCGTGGAGGGGCAAGAGGAGAGGAAGAGAATGGGAAATAGAGAAGGGGTGGAGCTTGAATTCTTCTTCCAAGGCCCTCTTTTGCCATCCAGTGGATGATGCAAAATAATAATTTCCTATAAAAAAAACATTCATCATTTGTAAGTGATGGGGCATTTGTAGATTTACATATACATAGTGGATGCGCATCGAAGTATCTTGTTGAAATCCAATAACATCACTTCTGAATACATGCCCATGTAGCAACTGATTTAAGTTTAGTCCTCATGTGATAGACAGTGATTGGTATACATTTGATTGTTACTCATGCACATTGGATATGGTCCAGCCACACATCCATCCAGAAACATAGAGGGTGATCCATTTATCGAGGTAACGTTAAAGGCGTAGACCTGCAATTTCTTGACATACCACTGCTGCCAAATATTGACGGATGCACCACCAAAATAATCGAGAGGATTATATATAAATCAACATTTTTATACACGTGTGTATTTTTACACACACGCACTTACCCGCTATCACCTGAAAACATTGGCAAGAAACACACTTATTCAATTTAGACTTGTACCAAAACATTTAGTTCAATAATTAACCACTTCCCTGAGGTGTTATTTTTTTGTTGGCAAAAAAAAGAAGAAATCAACATTTAATGCTCAGCATATGCTCCCACTGATATCGATACACGTGTTACATCTTTGCTCTGGTCCTCTGTGAGATACAGAATAATCACCTTTATATTATTCAATCACCTGTTGAGAACAGACACTAGAGCTGTATTTTAATACAGGGTGATTCATTTTTAGCTCCCCCACTGATTTCTAATGACCCCCTTAATTCCCTCCCCGAACTCGCGATTGAATACTGTGAAAACGATGGCTCATTCTCTCTCAACGTTATCTTTCAGAGGAGGACGTCACAGGCTGTAATGAGTGTATTGAGATTCGCGGGAAATGTGTAGAGGCTTAGAATTACAGGAAGGTCTCAGAGTACGCGGCCGGGGTTTAGGTTCCTTGTAGCCCCGCGTACGTAAGCGCGAATTCGCGTAAGTTGACATCTGCCCATATACGAGTGTAGATATAAAATGTTAGAGTGTGTATATATCATGTATATAAATGTACATACATCTTTAACAAAGTACAGAACTGTGCCGTAAATGACTAATTAATCATTGGGAGCATCCAGGTCAGATAGAACCCTAGAGATTAATTTGGATTCATTTCTTACACGCCCGCAAGTACATGTTCATAAGATGGTGGGGGCTAATTTTACTCATTTCCCGCCCCGTGAGAGTAGCGAAAGTACGAGTCACAAAGTGTTAGTGTGAGTCAGGGTCAGTCGCGTGTGAGCGGGCCCGCGTACTCTGATTCCGCGTACTCTAAGACCTTACTGTGGTTGTATTTTCTTTACAATATCTCTAGACAATAAAACCTGACCCTGCGTGTCAGGTTTGATTGCAGCAGACCAACAGCACATTCAAAATATCTAGACATTTGTTTTGCTCTACAATGCAAGACTGTTCTAATATACTTGTAAAGCAGCTGTTGTCAATGCCACAGGTGTACCAGTCGAAGATGGCATGTTTATACTCCAGTCAGGGATCTAGAATTCCTCCAAAGTTCATGACAAAAATAAGTACCACTTGTGGAGAGTCAAACGTCGCCATCCTCTGATATTACTGGTCCTGCCACAAGAACATGGAATTTCCACCACTTGAAGTGAGTTCCGCTCAGGGCTGCCCATGGGTTCCTGGAGTCCTGGACATCGATACCCAGGGAAGATTTCAATGTGGGCCCCAGCCCTCTTATGCATTGGTGACAATAGCACTTTGTGTGAGGTCCATGGCAGAATTTTTTTTTTCCACCTCCGGGTGGCCCTAACCTCACTGCTCATTTGATCAAGGAAACATGAACCTATTGACCTTTGATTATAATAACGCTTTAATTGGTGACTAACTCTCCCATCAGCTGTGCAGTGTGCTCTGCCAGGCCTTAATTGCTCACTGACTCTGAGACCCAATCCCTGCCTTTTTCTCTCTATTGTCCCTCCCCTTGTCCACTCCTTGGAAATGTCGTCTTTGGTCACGTGTGTCGTCTCCTGTCCACGGCTTGTAACCCATCTCTGGCCGTCGCCCACCCGTCCGTCCGTCACGTGGTGCTGTGTCGTGTGCAGAAGAGACGTTCTCAGCCTCTGCGTCCCAGCCTCCCTGTATGTAACGCCTGCTTTTCATACCCTTCCCACTGTTCACCTGCATTGTGTCTGGTGCGCCAGAAAGTCTTGCCCGTCACACTTTTCACGATACCATCCTTCGTCGCCCTTCCTCCCCCTCCCTGCTTCGACCAATTGCGAGTACCGACAGATGTCGGTACTCGCAAATGGGGTGTCATGGCAAATTTGTTCCGTGTTGTTTTGAATTGTATGCCTTTTCATAGAGCACAGAGACTTAACTACCCACATTGGTGTTTGAAATCCATTGATGTCTTTCGGCACTTGCATGATAGTATGAACGTGGTTGGCGGTAGAGAAGCCATTCCTAAATCTTGCTCGCTCACGTGGTTGGTTAGCCTCTACATATTCTATTATTCCATTACAAATAATCTTGGTGAATCATTTATAGACACGTGATGAGAGGCTAATTGTGGATTGATCGTACAGTGTGATTATTTGGTGATGCTGCTGCTGTATTGGCAGTGGTGCACAGGCATAATTAACACAAAACTCAACACATTTGTCAATAACACCTTGGCCTTAAAGGAAAAATATAGAATGGACAACATTATCGGTCATGGTCCTTCTTCATAGCTAAAAAATGGTGTGAAGGTGTATTTGCTCTAAATAAGGGCCATTTCCAACAACGTTGCTTGTTATAAATTTTGGTTTTATCTTTCATTTTAAGACCACATTTTTAATGACGAACGTTTGCTAAATATGGGTAATAAATGAAGGTCGTTTGGATCCCCCGTTCGTAGGGGCATAAACCACAGTTTATTGATCCGTTACGAATGCAAGTTTAAATTGGCTGTGCCCAAGCAACTGTGAGTGATGGGGGCAAAGGTTGTATTCCACATCTTTGCACGTTTTTCGTTAGAAGATTTGACACGGCTTGGGTTTGACTTCTGGGCACGTAGTAACATCCATGTTTCAAGTTTGTATGAGTTTTTAAATTGTTTTATTTTAAAAACTTTTTTTACATTTTAATTAAACTTCGGTTCAGGGCCCCAATTTTCACAGAAACATCAACACGAACACAGCTGATGGTCGATACATACCTGTACATTATTTACACGCTTAATTTCACTCACCATGAACGTGATGTGACCACTGCATGGCATGCATCCCATCTGCGGTCTCTGGATTTGCCTGCACAGGTTTGGAAAATCGTTACTTCGGAACGCATTTGATATATTCTCTAAGCATTTCACAGAGATGTATACATGAGTCATATTAACTGTAGATACCGATTGTGCCACATCTTGTCAGTTCATAAAACAACTATGCAGGGTTGAGCCTCCATAGTACTTGGATGGGAAACTGCCAAGCATACCAGGTGATATAGGCTTGGTCTGTGAGGTATTCAGGAGATGCCAGCATGAAAGTGGATTCTTGAATCTATCTGTGCAAAATGGCGAGTGTCACCCCCTTATGTGCATGGGTGTTCTACGGTATTCTAGTTCCTGTCACCTGGCTGAGAAAGATGATTTAAGGCTCGGTGAGGCTTTGCTGGATTAATAAAGTGAATTATTTTGTTTGTGGTGTAAAGTTGTGTTGCTATTGAGGACTTACTCCATTGGAAACCGGCCAAATTCATCAAAGAAGTAGCCCAAAGCTCAGCGGCATTCATTAAAAACATCAAAATAAATCATTTCGAGGACAAACGCATGCTAGAAAGCATAACCGTATCTATGCATATGCATGATTTTCTTTGCTTGTTCAATTTTCAGGGAGAAGCAATCGTTTTAACAATTTCCTCCCCCCCCTCCCCATCCTCTGTCCTCTGTGTCGTTGGCCGCGCTGCTCGCCGCGCCCACGTTTGTCGCGTTGGCTCGTGCGCGCGTGTGCGTGCACATGCACGCGTGTGCGTGCGTGTGCGTGCACATGCGCGCGTGTGCGTGCGCGTGCACATGCGCGCGTGTGCGTGCGTGTGCGTGCCTGTGCGTGCACATGCGCGTGTGGGCCCCTCTCTGTGTCCCCGTTAGCCGATCAGAGACACAAGTCCCATGAAGCGGTCCGTGTCGCTGCTGGGGCAGGCGCAGTCCCCTGGGCCGCAGCTGGATGACTACTCGCTGGAGAGGGTCAGCCCGGTCGGGGCCCCGAGGGCCCAGAGACGCAGCGTGCGACACCGCTACAGCGGGGAGTCGGGTGCGGAGTTAACCACCTTGTCACTCTGCTATTGCTACTGCCTTGGTCACTGTTCCCATAAACTTTACCCGGTCATTCCTCCACCCATGTTAAGTGTTCGAGTCTAGCAGATCGGCCGTTTTGTCTCATCCCTACTTTGTTCAACCGCAGGTCACAACAACTCACTCGCTCACCAGCTCACTCACTCAACCACTCGCTTACTCACTCAACCACTCGCTCACCACACTGCAGGTCATCACACACTTCTCTTTATGCTTCTTCTCTTAGACTGCGCATGTTGGATTTTCCTCTCAACGTCTATTTTGTCAAGCACGCATAGCTTTTTAAGAAACGCATTCACTCTTGTAGTACAGCAACTCTGGCAGCACCGGTCGCTTCGTGCCTTCACGTTTGTGCTCGCCAACTTTGTAACGAAACACAAACAAAAAAAACGCAAGACTCATACACGGACCTTGTGTGGTTCTGATTCTCAGCAGTAGGGAGCAGTGGCTTCGTTGTCGGGGGTGACCGAGAGCGGACGACGAGAGGAGGAGGAGGCAAAGAGCAGCACACCGGCTCCCTGGTGGACATGGACATGGAGCGAGTGGCAAGGCCCAGACCTCGGCCGGGCCCTTGTGACCCCTCCAAGCAGCCCCTGGGCCCTGGCATCCCTCCCACCTGTCCGGACCACCGCTCGCCAGAGCGTGGCAGGCAGGTAAGCGGTTTTGTGCCGCTATTATGCTCCTCGGCACGCGTGCACGTGCATGCTCCGCCTCACGAGGTGCAAAAAGAAAAGCGGGCCGTATCATGGGAACGTGAATATTTCACAATACTGGAAGGGGCAGATTTTACAGATCGGCACGATTTCGTGAGCACAGAAGCTCCGTGTCACGGAGAATTTCTGCTCGTGTGTCCGGTGCTCCATGCGCCCCACATTTTTATTTTAATGGGCCCCTACTGGACATCTGTGGGAAAAAAAATCTCTTCACAGCTCTTCAGATTCCTCCAGTCTAAATCCGATTCTGACTCACCGTTGCCTCTCCCCCCCCCCCATCCCCCCACACACAGACGAGTCGCTCACTGAGCGGCAGCCCCATCCTGCTGTCCCCGGGGGGCTCCGTGACGCCCCGCAGGGGCCGCCGCCAGCTGCCGCAGACCCCGGCGACGCCGCGGCCCAACGTCATGTACTCCCCGGCCCGTCGCGCGGCCAAGTCTGGCACGCCGCCGCCGACGACGACGCCTCGCGTCTCCTCGCTCGTCCTCGAGGGCTACTCGCCCCTGTCCTCTCCGCATGCCTCCCAGCGCGGTCGCGGGGAGATCTGCGGCGGGGAACAGGCCCCGGGGAACGTGTCTCCCCGTCTGAGAAGGGCGGCGGGGGCGACGGCGACGGCGGGGGCGACGGTGGGCGAGACGGCGTGCGGCGATGACGCCAGCTCGACCGAGCGGCTGCTGGAAGGTAAACCGCAACTGCGGCAGCAGCAGCAGCACCGCAGGTGGCAACACCACGCCTCCGATCCTTACCTTGACCTCTGCGTGGATGAGCAGACGAGGGTGGGAAGGAGGGAGCGAGATCGAGACAGAGATAGGGGCGGGGGAGGCGGAGGTGGCGCGGCCTCATCCAAGGCACCGGCCAGAGGGGCAGTGGGCGGGCAGCAGCAGCAGCATCCATGCCGTGCCGGGCCTGGCGTGGCGGGAGGCCGCAGGTTTCTCAACGGGAACCATTTTGGCGCCGGGGCAGGAGGAGGAGATGCGGCGGTGACGGTGGCGGCAACGGCGGCGGCGACGACGGTGGCGGTGACGGTGGAAGACAGCGGGGCCGGGGCGGCCGGCGGTCGGCACGGGACTGAGGGCGGCGGGGATGGATTTTGCGTGAGAGCCGGGGCGGTTTTGGGCAGTTCCGCGAGGAAACGAAACACATTCAGCGAGACGGACGAAGACGACTGGTGCTAGCGAGGAATGGGGGGGGGGGGGGGGGGTGCGTGCGCAATCGCGCACAGCAGCCCTCCGGAGCTACCAAGTGAAGCGTCAACCAGTAGGGACACAGTAATAAAATAGAGTGACTTTAGTGGAAACAGTTGCATGGCGGCTTTGAGAAGGACGGCAAAGTCTTGTTTTGTTTTTTATTATTCATCTTCTACTTCCTCCTCCAGATCTCGAGCTTGATTTTCACGGTAACGTTGGTCATGCCTTGGGTTTTTCAGCTCGTTCCGAATTCAGTCGTGCCATCGCTCCTCTCCGATCGTCGACAAGCATGCTTTATTTGCATTGCTGTTGTGCAAGAATCTGACTGCCTTGTTCTGCCGATCGAGTCCGCTTGTTTTGTGGTGGGTGCCAAGACCCCCTCCGTTAAATCTACGCATGCTGCAGAAATGCTCCAAGGCGCTTTGTGGCCTTTGACGAAGGCTATGCAACTGCGCGCCGTTTTGCATGCTTTTGAGACGTGTGCGTGCGTGCGTGGGTGTGTGCGTGTGTATGTATTGGTGTTGCCACCCAGCCTTTTGCGGAGTACCCGCAGGATTTGTATTTCTTAATCGATTGATTTATATATATACGGTTGTTTTATAACGGGAAAAAAAATCTGCTCCGCAAATTTTAAACAGGTTTCCTCCCCGTCCCCCGTTTGTTACTGCAGTATTCGCAAAAGTAACGCGTGGAGGAGAAGGCGACTTTAGTGACGCTCGGCTGGATTTACAACAAAAAATTGGGTGTGCGTTTTCGCCCGCGGGTTTTTGCGGGAGTCAGTCGCGCTACGGTCAGAGGTTGGCCCTTACCGTTTTGCGTGGGCATGTTTACGTTTGTACCTTGTGCAGCGCTAATCCTGCGATGTTGGCCAAACCCTAACTCACGTTGCTACATGGTTGAAAGCCTGGGCTTTCTGGGATGTCGGACCGTGTATATTGAGCATATTGATTCATTTTGTTATGGCGATTGTCGTCTTTATTACATTTTTAATGGATATTTAATTTTTTTACCCTTCCTTTGCCAACTCGAGTTGCCAGTGCCAGGATAATTTATCAACGGGCAATACATTTGATAAATGTTGTACATTGTGTAAAGGACAGGAAAGCTACACTTTAAATGTGGATGATTAAACGAGCACACCAATGGGCGCTGCCGGTCAAATGGTTTGACTTGAACATGGTATGCGTGTAAAGCGCAGATGGTTTTCTATGTTTATTGGGGGTAATTACTTTTGAATTTAGGTGAAGTTTGTCAACAGCTTGCAATATGGGTTTTTCTTTTTGCATTTATTTTATTCCATCAATATGTATTAGTGCATATGATGTCCAGTATGTTCTTTCGAATGCCGATTGTATTTTTTTCGCATTGTACGTAGCTTGCGTGATTTTTATTTACATTCTGTAAATTCGAACAATTCCCATCATGATATCGCATCACGTTGACTGTTACAGGAGGTAAAGTGGGCCACGGTGGTACACATCGCTCAAAAGACCAATGGACGAAATTGGCCGCAGATTGTCAACCAAAGCATAGAACGTACCCCACAGTACGACCACCGCAGAGATGGATCCATGAAATCAGTTGATGCGCTGGAGTGAGATGGGACTGTGACGGATGGAAATGGTGTGGAGGGAGACCTTCGACCAGCAGTAGGTAGTCTATGGTTGCTGATGATGATGATGATTAATATTGTTTTCTATACATTTTTTCTCACAGATCCTATTTTATATTATACAGGGCTTTTTTCTGTCACTTAATATTTTCTTTTTGGCACGGTATATTATTGGGAAAGGGTCTGTGTAAAAACAGGATAATTTCAAGTAAAATGTCTGTTTAGGTTAAAGCACTGTATTGGTAAACCTGCAAATACTGTGATACTTATCAGCGCTGTATAAAAGTGTCATAACAAGTGGTATGCTATGGAAAGCAGAATGACTTAATAGTGACGATTGTTTTAAAGAATGTAATGGTGTTGTATTGATCTTAATTAGTTCCCCAAAGCAAACACTCAGTTTTAATCAACAAATCAATAATGTTCTTTTGCAATTGAGGCAAATTGCAAAGAGTATTATATAGCTTTAAAATACTGTAAGATTTCTCAGTGTTTTAGCAATATGCTCGGCTCAGTAAAAAAATTACTGAATGATGGTAATGTGGTAAAGTAGAGTTGATGTTTAGCCGAGGGCGTTTTTCATTCAACATTAGTTCTGAATAAATTAATTGCAGTGTTGATATAAAAAAAAATTAAGAAAAAATTTCTCAACTATGGTTTAAATGTCCACCAAGAAAACGGCCAAGCTTGGTCATGTGACCCATTCTGAAAGATCAACGTTGGATGCAATCAGTGAACAGCCAGAGGCGGCGTTAATTCCCGCACGGCAGCACGCACACAAATATTCGCTTTTAAAGAAATGACAATGTACACGCAGTACATTGAAAAACAGAATACCCCAGCGTTTACAAACGTGATGTCGGTGTTTTTTTTGTTTGTAACAAAATGAGTGTTTCACACGCAGGTTGCACGGTGGTTTGACGACCAAACTCATGGGGAGGAGGGGTGGGGAGGCGGATGGGTTTGGGCGTGCTGTCAAGTTTAATTTTCAAAGCGCGCCTTCATTCGATTCGTGCGGCCAGCGTCAAGCCTCGCTCCTCGTTACCGGTCCGGACCGACGACGCTGCTGTTGCGTCGCTCATTGAACCCTGTGCTTTTCTGCAACAAATATATGCATGTGATGTGGTGCATGCGATAAAAAGGTGTGCTATAACCCGCAACAGGCAGAGCGGGCAACTTGGAAGAAAACAATTAACAAATTCAAGATTTGATTTTACGTTAACCTCGTTTCTCGCATCCATCTTTGTGGATTTTATTGGGGGTTTCATATTGAGCAAAAGGGGGGCGGTGTGGGGTTTGGGGGGGGAGGGGGTGTGTGGGTGTCAAAGTTTCTATTTGCAATTTAAATAAATAATACAACATACAACTTTACAAACGTATATGGAGTGGTATTAATAAAAGCTCTCCGCTTTTGAGATGGCGGAGCGTAAGGCTCACAGTGCACGGGCGTGCCCAGTGAGTTCTGCATCCCTCGGGAGCAGTCTTTGTGAAGCCAGCCCACAGCTGTTAGACACAATATCACACACGGAAAAATTAAAATATAAAAGCCTGATGCTGTTTCTTATCCAAACAGTTTTGTATTATTCAGAGTCCTTAATATACCTTTAAAATAAAAAAAATGAAAGAATGCAACTTTTCAGACTCCCGTGTGACGCTCTTACCGTTTGACTTGTCGACACTTCGTTAGCATGTGCTCATTGTTTTGAGATGTTGTAATGCCATACAAACACTTTACATGATCGAGCCGTCGACTTTTAAAAAGACCCGGAATGTGCCCGATTTTCATCAGGTCCCAAAAGCAAAGCAGGGCTGAGCGTGGATCGTGCTTGGATTTGTGACCACGGTGAACTAAACCAGTTGATATTGAGTCCTGCGATGCACATCACACAGCAATGCTGCAAAATCCATTGTTGTATTGTACTTCTATGCTCTGACGTATATGCTCCCTGCCTTCACCGGCCAACACTGATCAGCATGGTCGAGTCTGGTCAAACTTACCCCATGCCGAACATGGCGTAGGGAGGACTTCATCCAGCAGTGGATTATTAGCGGGCTGTAAATTATAATTCATTGTATTGAATATAGACTCGGGTCTTCAAAGTCCATGGTGGAGTTGAAACGGTATAGTGTTGATATTTTGTCCTGTCATTTTTACATTTCATCGTGCAAATGCCACCCCATGGCATTTAAGAATTGAAGCACTTACCAATAGCAGACCACACAATGTGTGCTGGGAGCAATACTGAAGCCTCAATCTGTCATCCTACCAGCCAGTAAAGCAGTTGGCTGTGCTTCTATTTCCGTCGATGCTTTCAAATATTGACAGTGATGCATAACCCAGTACATTTTTATCAGAGGTCCATTAGGAAAATGGGCAATTTCTGCCATAGACGAGTTCACTTCATTCTAAGCAGCCATTCTCCTTTTGTTGTGTTTACATTTCTAGCTTCAGGACAAACAAGGACTGCTCGTCGGGTTTTATTCACACGCATGTGACCAATGATCGACAACTCCTTAGGTCGACTGCTGCTGCTGCTGCTCGTGGTGGAACCTCGTCGTCGTTGTCGTCGTGAGATGAACCCCGCCTCGAGACGCGTGGCGACCCGCGCTTTCCAGAAGGCCCTGTCGCGTGGAATTCTCTCTCCCGACGAACTCAAGAACAACAAACCTTGAGTTCAACCACTTCCAGAGACCTCAACATGAATGCAGTGAACACAGTGTGATCAGACTGCTGTGCGCATTAGAATTATAATCACTGGAGGAATCCGATGAGCTATAAATATATTTTTCACAGATGTCCAGTGGGGGCGGGTAAACACGTTACTTTATCGTGCTTAAAGCATTACAGATGCTTCGAGCACGATTTTCCACTTGTTAAATGACTATTTACATTCCATTACTTGGGAATCCAAGATAGAAGCGGATATGCCAGCCTTGGCATTACAAATCTCGATGGTTTTACATGCGATATTTTAGAGACCTCAATGGAAATGATATATTAACAGGACAACAATAATTTACAACTCATTATTAAAGCCATCGCTATATGGCCCAGCGATAGCTCATGTATTGCTTGTTACAAAAAGGCACGTGGTTTGAGCCCAGTGGTTTCCCTGGTTAATACTGCGCTTGAATTAACAATAAAATGCAAACCAACTGCTTTCACGGTCGTCATTCAAGATCCCGTGACATCCGATAAAGAGTTTGCCACGTGTGCTCGCATTGCGTGTCCAATTTTGATATTAACTTTGTCACCTGGTATGCAGGTCATGGGTTCGATCCCGACCCTTGATGCCTGTTGTATATTTGGAGTTTGCGTGTTCTCCTCTGTGGTGACATGGATGTTTTTTCGGTGTCCCCTGGTTTTTCCCTCCACATTGAGAAACGTGCATTTAGAGTATTTGGCTGCTGTAAATTTCCACACGATAAGCCGCTTCGCTGAGTTACCATTTGTGGGCAAGTCACTTATGAAAAAGAGCTATATACCTGAATGGGCCTTACTTGGTGAAAAATAATCTAGTTTAGTTTAAATTACTTAATTGTGGAACCATATTGCAATATCGCCCCCCCTCCCTACTGGCAAACATGCCTGTTTTCATGCCATTGCTGCATTATCTTTGTTGCTACACAGCTAGAGCTGCCAATGGTTTGGGGGGTCCCCTTGGCTATACTGCATGGGGGTGATGGTGAGGATTGTTGATGTACAGAGGTGTAATGGTTATTGCCCCCCCCCCTTATCCTACTAAATATGATGACGTTTCACGATTTGGGGGCCATAAATTAATTAAATAATCAGTTTTTTTGCTGAACACTGGTCAATGCAGCGGCCTCCAGTGACTGCAAGCGGTCATTTGGACCCCATTGCAGCATATATATAAGAAAATTCAAGCATTGCAAATGTAAAAAGCTCCAAAGAATGTCTCGCTGCAGAAGAATGTAGATGAAACACATTAAAACATTTATTTCACCGTAAGAGCATAACGTCATTAAATCATTGGGATCACAGTTATCAACCTGTTCACGCAAACGTTAAATCTAAACATTATCCGGTCTTCAAACAAAATCATTTTTGGCATGATTTTAATTTTAGGCAATTAATTTGAGAAGCCTTGCTTCTCGCGTGTGCACACTGAGGCATGTCAGACTAAATCTGTCACTTCTCTTGACAGAATGAGCTCTGAAATGGCTCGGCAAGAGTAAAACTTCACTTGCGGCAATGTTAAATTAAGGAGGCAATCGGCAAATGGTAATTCGCAGTGGCCAATAGTGACTGATGATAATAGGTTTGTAATGGGACATTTTAAAAGGGTAACATAGAATAGGCCTTGTTACGTTGCCAGGAAATGCCATCCGGGCTTCAGGATGATGATTTAATCTTTAAATCAAACTGCAGGGCCATTTTCCTCATTCTATATTTCTGCTGCATTGATTAAACCCCATTCATGAACAGTGCAAACACCATAAATACACACGTACACATATAATTCAGCCATGTTACAATATATTAGACATATTTGGTTTACGTTTGCAACACATACATATTAATACTTAACTCTTAAAATACATTTATATGCTTTAGCTTTTCATTTAATTTAAGTATCTATATTTTTTTCATACCAAGAAATGAAATAGGGTTCTTAAGATGTCTTCAATAATTTTGTCCAACTCAAATGGCTTTCGTCATATCAAAAACACACTCCTGTACACATCCATTGCATATTACTTCTCTGATCCATGGAAACTATGTCAACTATCCATGTAATATGTGTGAGTATATAGATGGAGATGCAGCCCTGAAATGTCTTATTTATGCCACTCTGGCCATGTGCATTATATTAAATATATTATATTAAATGTAAAGTGAACATTCATCAAAAGTACTCCACATTTTAATCAAAAGGCCTTACATAATCCATAAGTGCTCAACTGTCAATATAATATTTAGTTCCTGCCATAAAGCAAGACAATCTAAAGTGTCAACATTTAGGTGCCACCTTGTCTAAATGTTTTTATCTCTCAACAATATCACCTACCACGAACACAATCTAATCACACACACTAGCACTAGAGTTCAATTCTGAAATATAGTCCATGGGCATGAGCTGACATTGGTACCGCCACAAAGGGAACTAAAATTTTACCGTGCCAATTTATTCACGTGGATATTACGAGCCAACTACCCAGCAACCCACTCATTTCAAATGGATATCACAATTCGCTGTTATTGGCCGCACCAAGAAATTAGAACCACGAAAGCCACCCCATAATCGGTGGGTACCAACGAGTAATGTATTTGCTCTGGGCTCATGGACTAATATGCCAGCTGTTGTTACGAGCGCTGATGCCCCCTTTGTTGTTGACGTTTCATTAGTTAAATGTGGCTGCAGTTGAGAACTACAAGCATGCAGAGGTGCACACAGTACACGGAGGCTGCTGGTTTTGCGTGGGAGCAAATACACTACCTGGTGGAGGAGCAGCAGATAGATTTGGAACAAATCACTCACACTTCACTTCACGTATTACAGAGGTTGTTGGTGCAGATTGCTTCACATTCACGTCAAAGCCATTCAAGCGAAACGTGCCAAACAGAGGATATAAACCTTTGCGATTAAGATGATGGTGATGACAATGAAGCTTTTACATAAATTACACTGGCACCCTGTTGGATTAGTAGAAAGTTAAACAACATTTTCCTTTTTTGCACACAAAAGACATGCCACATTGCAATGTAAAATGTGTCCGATTCTCCGATGTGTTTCAGCTTGTATTGCGTTCTATTCGGTATGATGTCTGACATTTTGCTCCATGTGCTGAAGAAGCTCCTCAGCACGTCTCGTGAAACGTCGGACATCATCCTGAACAATATGCGGTGCGACCCGAACCTACATCGGAGTGCACAACCGCGAAAACCTATGCAGTCGTAAAATATATCTTAATAAGTGGCTGTCATAGATGAAGCAAAACACACACAAGTCTGGTGCTGACAGTGTAACTACAAGTTTTAAAATGCCCAACACATTGAAGGAAATGCAAAAACAAGCATTTGCATAAATACATTATATATGCGGTACAATATAACTTTTAAATACTCCATAACGACAAACAACACATTTTAAGGTTAAATAAAGGTATTATGGTAGATGCAAACTGAGCAAATATGAAATGAAATACACATTTAGCAAAATGCCACGTGAAAAGTTAAAACGGAACTTTTGCAGTGAACACACTAATGCAGCGTTAAACCTATTTAAAATAAACATCTACTTAACAACAAAACAT